AATGTGCTTCTCAAATGTCGGTCTTGATAGCTCACTCTGGAAAAATCTTTTGCTCTGTTAACGTTTATCCAATATGTGTTCATCCTTCCAGAAACTTCTGTGGCACTCAGCCAATGAATTGATCAAACCTGATCATAATTTTTGATTCCAGCCAATGGAGGTTAGTGGTAAACAACTCCCAAATGTTTATACTATGTCATAAACTGCCACATTCTATGTTAAAGAGATAACAAGGTGTAGAACTGGATGAACACAGCAGGCCAAGCAGCATCAGAGGAGTAGGAAGGCTGACGTTTTGGGCCGAGACCCTTCTTCAGAAATGGGGGAGGGGAAGGCAGTTCTGAAATAAATAGGGAGAGAGGGGGAGGCGGACAGAAGATGGATAGAGGAGAAGATAGGTGGAGAGGAGACAGAAAGGTCAAAGAGGCGGGGATGGAGCCAGTAAAGGTGAGTGTAGGTGGGGAGTTAGAGAGGAGATAGGTCAGTCCAGGGAGGACGGACAAGTCAAGGGGGCGGGATGAGGTTAGTAGGTAGGAGATGGGGGGGGGGCTTGAGGTGGGAGAAGGGGATAGGTGGGAGGAAGGACAGGTTAGGGAGGCAGGGACGAGCTGCGCTGGTTTTGGGATGTGGTAGGGGGAGGGGAGATTTTGAAGCTTGTGAAGTCCACATTGATACCATTGGGTTGCAGGGTTCCTAAGTGGAATATGAGTTGCTGTTCCTGCAACCTTCGGGTGGCATTGTTGTGGCATTGCAGGAGGCCCAGGATGGACGTGTCGTCTGAGGAATGGGAGGGGGAGTTGAAATGGTTCGCGACTGGGAGGTGCAGTTGTTTAGTACAAACCGAGCGTAGGTGTTCTGCAAAGCGGTCCCCAAGCCTCCGCTTGGTTTCCCCGATGTAGAGGAGGCCACAATGGGAACAGTGGATACAGTATACCACATTAGCAGATGTGCAGGTGAACATCTGCTTGATGTGGAAAGTCTTCTTGGGGCCTGGGATGGGGGTGAGGGGGGAGGTGTGGGGACAGGTGTAGCACTTCCTGCAGTTGCAGGGAAAAGTGCCAGGTGTGGTGGGGCTGGAGGGGAGTGTGGAGCGGACAAGGGAGTCACGGAGAGAGTGGTCCCTCCGGAAAGCAGATAAGGGTGGGGAGAGAAAAATGTCTTTGGTGGTGGGGTCGGATTGCAGATGGCGGAAGTGTCGGAAGATGATGCGTTGGATCCGGAGGTTGGTGGGGTGGTACGTGAGGACGAGGGGGATTCTGTCTTGGTTGTTATTGCGGGGACGGGGTGTGAGGGATGAGTTGCGGGAAATGCGGGAGACACGGTCGAGGGCGTTCTCGACCACTGAGTGGGGGAAGCTGCGGTCCTTGATAAACAAGGACATCTGAGGTGTATGGGAGTGGAATGCCTCATCCTTGGAGCAGATGCGGCGGAGGCGAAGGAATTGGGAATAGGGGATGGCATTTTTGCAGGAAGGTGGGTGAGAGGAGGTGTATTCTAGGTAGCTGTGGGAGTCAGTGGGCTTGAAATGGATATCGGTTTCCAGGTGGTTGCTAGAGATGGAAACAGAGAGGTCCAGAAAGGAGAGAGAGGTATCAGAGATGGTCTATGTGAACTTAAGGTTGGGATGGAAGGTGTTGGTGAAGTGGATGAACTGTTCAAGCTCCTCGTGGGAGCACGAGGCGGCGCCGATACAGTTATCAATGTAACGGAGGAAGAGGTGGGGTTTAGGGCCGGTGTAGGTACGGAAGAGGGATTGTTCCACGTAACCTACAAAGAGGCAGGCATAGCTTGGGCCCATGCGGGTACCCATGGCCACCCCCTTTGTCTGTAGGAAGTGGGAGGAATTGAAAGAGAAGTTGTTGAGGGTGAGGATGAGTTCGGCTAAGCGGATGAGGGTGTCAGTGGAGGGGGACTGGTCAGGCCTGCAGGACAGGAAGAAGCAGAGGGCCTTTAGGTCATCTGTATGGGGAATGCAGTTGTATAGGGACTGGATGTCCATGTAAAGATGAGGTGTTGGGGACTGGGGAATTGGAAGTTCTGGATGAGGTGGAGGGCGTGGGTGGTGTCACAGACGTAGGTAGGGAGTTCCTGGACCAAGCGGGAGAAAATGGAGTCGAGATAGGTGGAGATAAGTTTGGTGGGGCAGGAGCAGGTGGAGACAATGGGTGGACCAGGGCAGTCAGGTTTGTGGATTTTGGGAAGGAGATAGAAGCGGGTGGTGCGGGGTTGGGGAACGATGAGGTTGGAGGCTGTGGCTGAGAGGTCACATTCTATGTGCCATGTAAAGTAAAATGGTGCCAGCATGTCTAGCAGACCATTACGACACCTCCCTTATTTGGTTAACACATGAAACTGCAGGTCACGGCTTACAGGACAGGTCACAACATGTCCTGGCTGCAGTTTTAACTGCAGTCAGAGTTTAAACTAGCTTGACCAAAGCTCCCAGCATGTTTATTGTAGCTCTTAATTGTAGTCTTGTAGCTTTTTCTGCTTCTGGCCACCTGATCACAAAGGATAACCAACACGGAAAGGTAGATCATGTTTGACCAATTGAATATTTTGGCAAAGCAAAAGCAATGGCTAATGAAAGGAATACAATGGATAGTGTCTGTACAGATTTTAAGTATGTGTTTGAACATGTACAACATAAACTGCTGCTTAACAAAATTGAGGTTCATGGAACAGCAGAATCATGCAAATACAGTAAATGTTTTTTCTAGATATGAGGCTCATAGGCAAATGTGATCACCAAGTTTCATTGCTAGGTCCGTTGCCTTACTGATTTATATACATAACTTGCACAATGGAATACAGAGTGCAATTGTTATGGTACCAAACCAGAAGAACTGGTATACAATAAGGATGGTACCAAATGAATACAAAAGAACATAAGAACTAAGAAGAGAAGTAGGCAGTTCAGCCCTTCAAGCTTGCTCCACCATTTGATACGATCATGGCTAATTTCATCTCGGCCTCAACTTCATTTACCTGCCCATTCTTCAAGCCATTGTTAATTAAAAATCTGTTTATCTCCTCCTCAAAATATATTCAATGTCCCAGCATTGACCTCACTTTAGAGTACTGAATTCTGGATTCATGACCCTTTGAGAGAAGTAATTTCTCTTAATCTCTATTTTACATCTGTAAACCCTTATCCTAAAACTGTGACCTCTCCTTCTCGATTGCCCCATGAGGAAACACCCTTTCTATGTCTCCTTTGTCAATCCTTAGTAGCATGTTATTACAACTCCTCTCATTCTTCTGAACTCCAGAGGGGCCTAAACTGCATGATCTCTCTTTATAAGACAAACCTCTCATGCTTGGAATCATGCTTGTGAGCCTCCTCTAAACTGCCTCCAATGCAACCACATCCCTCCCAAGTAAGGGACCAAAATTGTACACAATAAAATTGGATGGACTGTCAGAATGTGCACTAAAGTGGCAGATGGAATTCAATAAAGAAGTGTGAATTGATGCATTTTGGCAGAAGGGCTAGGGGAAGGCAATATAGTGTAAGTAACATAGTGTGTACAGAATCAGTGGAATCTTTGAAGGTAGCATGACATATTGAGAGAGCAGGTACTAAAGCATTTGGGATTTTGGGCTTTGTTTCAGAGGCATTGACTATAAAAGCACAGAAGTCATGGTAAACTTGGCCAGGCCAAAACCAGAGTATTGCATCCAATTCTGGTGACCATACTTCAAGAAGGATGTGAGTGTCCTTGAAAGAGTGTAGGGGAAATTTATCAGAATGGTTGCATTTGACTGGTTGGATTGAAGGGTCTGTTTCTGTGTTGTATGACTATGACTGCAAAACTGTACAAGCTTATAGCAGATTTAGAGATGCTATGCAAAGGAACCCTGTTTCATTGAGCAATGGTAAAAACACTAGCAGATACAGATTTAAAGTTTTGGTCAAAAGATGCAGAGAGGAATGTAAAGAAGAATGGTTTTGCACAGTGAATGGTAATGACCTGGAACACTCTGCCCTTGATGGAAGTGAAGACAAATAAACTTAGAGAGGCACAGACAGAGCAGGGGAATGGGACTGATTGGATCCTTCCACAGGGAGCAGGGATAGATGTAATGGGCTAATGCCCTCACTTGTCATATTGACTCTATGTACTGTTGAGCTTCTCTTTAATTCATGGACATTCTTCCAAATTGACTTTATCTATGATATGCTATCTTGCTTCAAGTCTATTTTTATCTGTTGATGGGCTAGGTTCCTTCACCAAAACTATGCTTATGACTTAATTTGACATTTTTCACTCGTATCAACAGTCTATTTCTTGAAGGTGATGATGAGTTGTGGGTATTACTTTTCTAAAGTCATTATGAAATTGCACATTTTCAATCAGTACCTAGAAATGTTGCTAATGAATGTTTTTGTTGGGAAATCATAGAAGTTACTAAGTTAAATGTAGTGGGGACATTTTAAATAGTAATTTAAGTTGATCATGGCTACACAAAGCCTCAAATCAAATAGATGTCTATTACCATAATGATTTATGTTATCAAGGTCCCCAACATCTGTTAAATTCCAAATTGAGAATTTGATGTAAAAAAGTGGAAATGTAAGCAATAGCTCTTCTGATCTAAATCCAATCTATCTCTTTCTTAGTGCAAAGTGATCGAAAGGTACACCACTCTCAACGTAGGGGTAGCACATTACAATACTTAGGTCTCCTCCCAATGCTAATCTTGCCAGCCAAACAATCCTCAATTTCTAACCTCAGTTGCTTGCCTGGAATTAGGTTCAACATTATACCTTTTTCCAAAGGAGGAAAGTGAGTGGTTTTCAAGCTTGACTATTCCTTGTGATGCTGAATGGAAAGATTCTTGTGATGGGATCTGAAGGTTATTTACACCCATTCCCCAAAACATCATTGATAATTAAACAGTGCAAAGGCTTAGTTCAATGAAAAGTTTGTGTGGTACATGTTATATATGATGAGTTAAGAAAACAGCATACATATTGGAGGAGACTCAAATTTTAACTAATTAAAAACACAATTTATTGTTACATCCACTTAAGAAATGTAGAGGCAGTTAAAAATCAATTTGTACAATGGACAACAATTGAGTCATCATAAAGTACTACACTTTTTTTTAATACTGCCAACAACACTGATTACACAGCTGATCATCGAAACGGATCAAGTTCTGCTGACATCTGTTTTCCTTTTGTTAACACGGAAAAAACTTGTTCTTTTGCGCTATTTAGCCATGTTTTGACAATGACTTGGCTTATTCACAGTAGCTATCAAAAACACAACCCTTAGAACATTGTCTTGTGCGACCTCAAAATTCAAGAAAAACTGGACTTGCTGAGTTTATTGCAAGACATTATTTGAAGTCTATTTTGTTTTACCTCATTGATAATCTTCAGCAACAGTAAAATTAGTATTTGGGTTATCAAAATGAAGTGATTGGATTTTGTTGAACCATTTGATACTTTTTCTTCTTTAGATATAGTCCAACAATGTTAATCAATCTCTGCTTTGGATTGATAATACACCTTTATCAGAAAAAGAAATTCAAGGCATCCCAGAACACATTATCTACAAATATCTACAAATGCTTGCAAAATTTAAACAACCCAATCTATATCTATGTACACTTTGTACAAACTTTTTAAACACATAAACTTACATCTTTACAAAGCCTGTTAATAGCAAGTAAAAATAATACACAACATGACGACCATGTAATACTACAAAAGCTTATAAATCTATAGGTGTATCAAATTTCACAATTTTCTAAAATAAGTTTCATAGACCCACAGCTACTTAAGATAATTTACATATAAATGAATGAAGAACAGTTGAGATGTAAACCTATTATGGGATATCCATGACAGGTTAGCTTTTGCCAGACTCTAAAGATGGATGAAAAAATAGAAATTCTTCACATTTTATTCAAGTTATGAACTTAAAAGCAGGCTAATGTGGAAAGCGCAACTTGTAGAAACTGGACTGAATCAGATCAAAGTTCCCCAATAAGCAACTTGTGTGACTTAGGCTAGATCAGAATTAAATTCCAGCTGTTAATCTACGTGCAAATTCTTTTCACTGCATGTATAAGTATGCTTTCACAAAACTGATTAACCCTGTATTACCAGAGATAATACTGTATGGGGAATCATTGACCTTTCTCACAGGCCAAAAGCATAATTGAATCAATTATTAAATTGCAAAAAGCTTTGCATAATGTGCAAGTAAAATAATTTGTAATAGAAATACATTCATTACTGTTTAGAAATTTCAGAAAGTGAATTTAAAATTTACCAACCTAAATTCTGGCCTAATCTGAGTTTGAAATATTTGCAAGATTTAAAATTTATATTTCCAATCACATGACTTTGAAAAGTTACTTTGTAGGCTACTGAATTTTCAGGACAACCGAAGATTATATGATTACAGCAGATATTACTTGTAAGGATGGAATCCTGCATTAATATGTCTGACCTTATCATTATGTAAAAACTCAAAAGTACAAAAGTGGCTTGTATATTTAATTCCAAAGGTTTTGTTGCAAGACCTTTACATTAAGCAAATACATCTCACAGTGCACCTTTCTCATTGTCAAAACACATGAGCTTGTCAAATAGCTCCTTAGACAAGATCAATAAAAATGCATTTTTAATTCCAAATATACATCAATTCTAGCCAGCAGTGCAATTCTATTTATTCACATATGAATTGACATTCCCATTTCCCTTCATACTTGTTTTAACATTTAAATAACTTGACTCCACTGTATTTGCAAGTGTACTTAGCAGATTGATTTCTCATGTTACATTCTATGTGCTTTGATATAGGAATACAACATGGTAGAAATGCTATAGCAATTAGATAATTTGTAAGAGCAGAGAAGAGGTGCGAGCTTTATTTTGGTTAGGTATTTTGGGTTGGCTTTTTTTTTTTAAGTGGTTACTATTCTACTTCATTTCACTGCTTTAACCTTACTGCAGTGAGTCAATTACTTCAGGACTGTGCGCAAATATGATTGATACTGTAACCAGCAAGGAAGTGAACAGTCAGAATTAAATTATGCAAGATGGATTGCTAAATATGTACTGCCCTTCTCCTAGACAACTGATGCCTTGCTAGTATACTACTAGACTATAGCAATATGTGTTAGGAGTCCAGTAAATTTAATTTATATTATTTCCCGAAAGTGCCATTACTAGTTACTTTGTCTCTTAAGCACTGCATTGGGGAATGCTTACATAGACTATTACTGTTGATTAGTATTTTATAGCATCAGAAAATCACTTAACCTAACAGTATCAAATGAGTTTCCACAGGAACAATATGTTAAAATATCATCCAGGATTCTTTTCTGCACTTACAACTCCAATAGTGACTTAGCTTGAAACCATAACATGACTATTACAAATAAATGAAACTCATTCATGAAAAGAAATCTTATTTGTAGATATATTGGAAGGAGTATTTTGTGGGTATTATGTCGTGAAATTTGTACCCAATTAGCAGAAAGCAACTCATTCTAATTTACTTTGTTCATCAGTTCCATGCGGATGCAAATGAGTAATGGAAAGCTCTTCATCTTCCTGCAACTGCATCTCTTTACTTCCAGTGTAGCTAAATTGTTCATTTTTAGCTCTGAAGTGGCCCATGTAGTTGTCACACCTGTGTCTGATATTGAGATTCTACAAAAGAGATATGAATATTATCAAAATTAAGTTCATCATCACTCTCGTAGTCACTCATCACTACTTCAGAATCATCAAAACCACAGCTCATCGACATATCTGAAGATGATGCATTTGTTGATGCAAGTACGGGCATTGATATATTGTCCCTAATCACTTTATCCAAGTCTTGGTTTGAACCTGCAGGGAATGCACCATAGCCAGTCTCATCCTGGATACCAACAGGCTCTCCTGCAGGCAACTGGTGAGGCGGAAGGTACTGGCTGGGATGGAAGTGTGGTCTTCTGCCATTGGAGTTTAAAGCGTTCAATGTGGATGTGGTCTGGGGTGACTGGATGATCTCGTATTGATCCTGGTAATCCTCTGGCAAGGGAGGAGGAAGTTGATCCTGGCCCAGGAATTCCTCATCTTGAGGAGGTGGAAAGTCACTGTCTATGTCATATCCACCGAGGTAGTAGTCAGCGTCTAATGATCGCGTATTCTCATGATGCACAGGGGCAGTATCTGCTGCTTCATAATGTGGTACTTCTTCAATATTTGGTAGTCGAGTGCTTGGCATCCAGTCTGAGGTATCCCAATGATATGCTGTAATAGAAAAGAATGACTATAACATTTCTATTATTACAACTAGCTCAAGAAAAAGTTATCAATGGATGACCCTTTTGTTCTGCCATTCCAAGACATTTAATTATTGAGCGACAGTGCTGCTAATGAATGTGTTTCTTCTATGAAGTGTACCAAATGAAATTTGATTGACTTTTTGATTATTCGTAGTTAATATATATTACACGTAGTCCTTAAACTAGAACATTTTGGTTTCAATTAAACCGTGCACATCCTTATTCAGAGATCAGAATATTTCAAATAATTTTGTGATTTATTACTTGACATGTATAATGTTCTTGAGTGTCCAACCAGTTTTATCTTTTGGCAGTGAAAGATAATGCTCCGTATTACAACTTTTCTTAATTTGTTCAAGTTCAATTTCAATTAGTACAAGCTCTGTAGCCATTGTATAAATTTAAAGAGTTCTAATTGTTAAAAATATACACACAGAGCTATGCATAAAAGTAAATATACGTATCTGTTGCTTAATATGTAATAGCATTCATTGATCAAACCCACACCAACAGACTTAACATGAAATAGGATGTCAAAGTCATGCAAAGGCCAACTAAAAATCAGCATGCATATTGAAAGCCAGTCAATCATACAATAAAAACTGTGCATTGATAAAATACAGCTGAACCAGCAAATTGTTGAATGATGCTTTTCAGTTAAACTATGCCTTATTCATTCCTAATAAGCATGATAACAAATACTTAATATTTTAATGCCTTTCAATATTATGGTCAGCTTGTTCATGCTGAACAACTATTCACCAATTTAAATTAATTACTAAAGGTTGAAATTCATTATTCTAACAAAATGAGTTCAGCCTGAAGGTCAACGGAAACAACACAGTATTCAAACGTAAATCCATGCCCTTGCAGATTATTCTGCTCGGGTTAGAAATCATTGTAACCCTTGCAGCTCTATTACATGCATGTGTAGTAGGGAATTGAGTTCAAAAACAAGTGAGGCAAATGCTACTTTAAAATACAAGATCTTGGGATAGCATTAAAAAGCAGATCGGAAGTGTTCAGGAGTCACCTCTGTTGTAGTTCTGCCCCTCCTCGGCAAGGGACACTGTCAGGTGGAAAGTGAAAATGAGTGAATGGTTAAAAACATATCTTAAGTATATTAGTTCAGATAGGGCATATATATTACTGACATAGGTTTAAACATTTCTATAAAGTATTGGTTATACATCTAGCCCAGCAGCAAAAAGGACAGTCCCATTCTTTTGGATTCAAAACTCCTCTCAAATAAATATTAAATCTTAGATCCATTAAATGGTCTGCATTTGTCATTTTCTGTTTTAAATCTACAAAGAAAGAAACTATTTAATACAGATTGCAGTTAGTACAATATTTATTGATTCATATCAATATATCACATCTTCACCAGATGTTGCAATAATTAATTGTACATATTTGTACATATTAGAATTCCGTTTGATATGATTCAGAACAAACAAAGGAGTCTTGATGTCATTTCACTGCGACCACAATTCATGAACATTAGTATAAAATGCACTACCTAAAAAAAAGCAGTACCAATCTAAGATAGTAGGAACTGCAGATGCTGGAGAATCTGAGATAACAAGGTGTAGAGCTGGACGAACACATTTCTGATGAAGGGTCTAGGCCCGAAACGTCAGCCCTCCTGCTCCTATGATGCTGTGTTCATCCAGCTCTACACCTTGTTATCTCAGTACCAATCTAACATAGGTTTCAGTACAAATGTGTTTCCAAATAGTTTGTGTTTTGACTAATTTGACTGATGTTTTAATTTCTTCAAAGGTTAAACTGGAATTTGTTTTTTTCTTTATTTAATCAAATTTGGTGGATTAAAGAAACCCAAAATTAATTTGTTTGCCTCCACGCTATGATTTTCAGATACACATTCGCGAAATGATTAATTTAAACAATAATGTTGCCCAAAATTATAAGTAAACACATTTCCATACTGGTATATGTTAGAATGAAGCAAGGTTGTCTCTAAACTGTTCTGGGTTTGTTTTAGAAAATACATCAAAATGTCATTTCAAAAGAGGTTAAACTGTCAGAAATATAATTGATATTTTATTTCCACTTAAATTTGATCATTGTAATTTAGCCTCCTTTGTACTTTTTTAGAATTGCATCATGTGATAAGTATCCCTCCAGTTATTTCTTTGTGATGAAACTCAGACTTTGTTCCATTAATTCCGTCAGCTGTCTTGCTGAGAGTCAGAATTCTCATGTTTTGTCACAGAGCTTGGAGAAGGTTTTAATAATTCTTCTTGATTACTTCTCTATTCTACCATATTCCTGCTATAAATTCAATCAAGAGTATGCTGAGATTACTTAAAGTTACACAAAGATCAGATAGGTCAGGTCCTTGTTAGCAGTGAATGAGGTAACCTCCTGGAATTGTGCCTTGGCCTATCTCAAACATGGCAATCTATGAAAATTGCTGGAAATAGAATATAGATGCCTAACATATTCTTTGAAAAAAATATTTTATTGTACTTTAACAATAAACAATATGCAACAATAAATGAGCTAATACTATGGACAAAATAACTTCATATGAAAACATCTACAGAACTTATTTGTATGTAACATTATAAATCTTTCCAAAGTTCCAGATAAAAGCACTGTGGCACAGAAGGAGATATATAAGAAGGTTCTTTTACGAACCATTGATTAAAAAATGTGATTTTTAAGGCAGTAAAAGAAGCTGAACACTGTAGAGATTTAGAGAACATAAGGATTCAGAGTCAAAGCAATGCAAGGCATGGTCACTGATGGTGGAGTGATGAACATTGGGGTGTGCAACATGCTTTATTTGGAGGAGCACCTAGGTCTCACAAAGGGTTGACAGAGGTGACAGAGCTATGGAGTTAAGAGGCCATGAGGACCTTGAGTGTGACCATGGAAACATCAATATCATAAAATTGCTAGACATTAGCAAGTCATTGTAGATTTGCAAATACAGGAGTGATGAGTGAATGGAACCTACTGCACATTGACATGATGGCAACATAGTTTTAGATTTTAGTTTTACAAGGAGTGGAATGTAAAACACCAACCAGGAAATCATTGGTACAAGTTTATTTTAGAGGGGCAGAATGGTGGCTCAGTGGTTAGCACTGCTGCCTCGCAGCACCAGGGACCTGAGTTCGATTCTACCCTCAGGCGAGTGTCTGTGTGGAGTTTGCACATTCTCCCCACGTCTGCGTGGGTTTCCTCCGGGTGGTCTGGTTTCCTCCAACAGTCCAAAGATGTGCAGGTTAGGTGGATTGGCCATGCTAAATTGCCCGTAGTGTTCATGTGGGTTATGAGGATTGGGTCTGGGTGGGATGCGCTGAAACATGGTGTGGACTTGTTGGCCCGTTTCCACACTGTAGGGGTTCTATGACAATGACTTAGGGTTTGAACAACAAATAGGCTGAGGCAGAGGTACACACGGGCAAAGCTATGGGGATGAAAGTAGATGGCTTTAGTGGAGGACAAGATATGAGGTTGGTAGCTCTGCTCAGGGATTTGAGGTAACGGTTTCAGCTTTCTATTAGATGCCAGGAAGGAGGATGAAGTCTCAATTCATGGTTAGAACCTATATTCCTAACGGATGGCTTCAACCTTCCCAATAGTTTTGCTCACGATACACACTGTAATTTTGAGACCACAGAAATTTAGTAAGTCAGTTAATTGCTTATGCTGTTTAATCAAGTAAATAAATTCTACAAAAATAAGCTTATATGACAGTTAATATTTTAACTAATGTCACCTACATAAAACAACATGCAGTGTCTTTCAAAGTGAGGGAAATTTTTTAATTCCAAGCATCATATTTTCATAACAAACGCAAGGAGAACAATTAACAGGTTAAATACCTTCATTCTCAATTGTGTCAACTGCATCATTAACCAGGCGTATAACAGTCACTATTGAAGCTTTTAAGGCAGGGTAAGAAAAAGGGAAAGGTAGGAAAAGGAGCAGCAGAAAGTAGTGCAACGTTAATAAGCAGTTCTACATTAATTTCTTAACACTTTTTGATGTAAATTCCTCTAAAAACGGAAAGGAAAGTATAAGAATATTGAAACTGAATGAACAATTTGATTTTTCATTGTTCTATTGCATAATTTTAATAAAAACAGTTGTGAAATAACTTTTTTTAAAAAAGGCTGATATTACAAATTGAGTTTCTCAGTGGACCCTATCTTTGAGAAAATTTATAATGTTATTACAGGCAAGCAACAGGAAGGAGTGTCTGACTTCATTCTATTGATGTGTTCGGAGCGGCGGTACAATCTCCAGAAGTACTACACACAATAATGTACCGAAACTCTCAGGATATTACACAGCATAACAGTTCAGCCAGAGCAACATACTAAAGAACTGACACATAATGGATACATTGAGTGAGCATAAATTTTTGTTCCACTGATAGTTGTGAAGATGATGCATCTGTGTCATAGGATCATATTACTCACATTTGTGCATTGAGATTTCATAAATTAACTAAGGATGTCTGCATAGTTTTAAGAAATACATTCTGTGCTACCCTGTAGCTATCCTAGCTCATTATTACTGATTAAAATCACAACAACTTAGATATATAGAGCACCTTTAATAGAATAAAACATCACAGGAGTTGTTGTATAGCATAATTAGGCAGAGTATCGTGAGATGATATCTAGGCAGCACCAACTTCTTGACCACTGTTAGGAATAAGCAACAAATGCTGGTCTTGCCAATGACAATTACATCATGTAAAAGTAAAAGAAAGTTACCTTTAAGTGGGTTTTAAGGAACTTCTAAAAGGTAGAAAGAGAGGTCAAAAAGTGTAGGATGGTAACTTCAGTACTTAACAACTACTGGTCTGGTCGGCAATCGTAGAGGAGTTAAAAAGAGGGATGTTCAAGAGGCCAACTTCAGAGGAGCAGGGATATTTTGAATGTTGTGGGACTGCAGAAGATTATAACAGTGACATTTCAAAAGTACATCTTTGGCTGTATTGTCTCAGCATTTGCTACTTATGGGAATCTTGATGCGAGTCAAAATGTTATATTAGGTTAGTATTTCAGCTGAATCAAACTGATACAGAATTAGGTAAAGATGTTCCTTTTAGGTCAGAGATTTTGCTATTAATTCCTTGGAAGAGCAATGTGCTTCACTACCTTCCTATATACTAAGCTGGGTCTCTGGGAAGTTTAATAATAACTCTGAGCACAGTTGCAAGACAATGGAAATATTTGCCAAAACAGTTCTGTAAATTTTCAAAGATTTAACATCACCAACTTATTACTGCATATGAGGCTATTTATCATTTCACAACTGTGCTAACTTTTCAAATAAATAATTCACCTAGTGCCACCCTCCCTTAGCACACACTTCCTTTTCAGATAGTAATCCAATTTCCTCTTGAATGCTTTGATTGAACTTCCCTTCACATGCTCCAAGTAGTGCATTTCAAATCCTAACCACTCATTGTGTAAAAAAGATTTTTCTCATGTCGCTATCGCTTCTTTTGTCACATTCTCAAAAAGATTCTACCAGATTCATCAATCATAATCCGTTCCTCACAGTCCCAAGCTGCCTCTCTCTGATTAGCGCAAAACCTACAAGGTGCTCCATCATCCAACCTTACTTATGGACTCTAGCTATTTCATGACAATAGATGTTAGGTTAACTGGTCTGTAATTCTCTGGTTTCACTATCTCTAAACAGCAAAGTGACATTCATAACTTTCTAATCAAAAGGAAAAGTTCCCAAATCTGAAGAACTGGAATATTAGAGATCAGACATCTGCAATGCTACCACCTATTTCTTTTAAAATCATGGCATGAAAATATTGGCCATGTGGATTTAGCCTGTCAAATCTGCTCCATCACTTAACGCAAGCATGACTGATTAAACAGCAACATGTTTTACTCTCAGTATCCCCATTAAGTCCTTCCACCATTGGCAATCAGAAATCTGTCCATCTCTACTTTAAATATACTCAAAGAATGAGTTTCTACTGTCTGAGGTGGAGAATTCCAAAGATTTCCAACCCTCTGCATATAAGAATTTCCACTTGTCTTGATTCTAAATGGC